GCAGGGGCATTTTATCTAAAGCTTATTTGATGAGCTTTAGATAAAGTGCCCCTGCCACCATTTTGAAGTGTGGGGACACTGATACAGGAGACACAAAGGTTGATATGGAGAGTCTCCTCCAAGGCACTGTAATAACAAGCCTCCGTGTACTCGTGTATAGGTGCCCTTAGTTGTGTTATCAAGTTACCCTTTTGAGTATTTTTAAAAAGAAAATATGACCTTCAAACTACAGGAGTATTTAATAAAGTTGGGGGACTGGACCAGCTTTTCCTAAAGCTGCAAAGCTGTTCGGTATATAATTATTTAAACTGTCAATAAAATGCATATATACAAGGTTGTTTGGGTAAATCCAATATCTACTCAAAGAACCTTGTCTGCCTCTGTCCTTAGACCGACATGGCTACAACCTATATCCCTGGCATATATGGTTATCATTCATTTACAGCTGTTTAAATGCTGTCTATAGGTCTGGGATATAGCTTATGTTTATGTGGAAATAATATAACAACAACCACAACTTGAAGAACTTACTAGGGGGACCAGTGGGGTTTGGGAGAGACCTTGTTCCCCCGAGCACCTCCTCGAGTAACAAGGAATAACGGACATAAGTTGCTAGAGAGTAGGTTTAGACTAGACATTAGAAGGCACTACTTCACAGTCAGGGCGGCTAGGATCTGAAACCAACTTCCAAGGGAAGTGGTGATGGCTCCTACCCTGGGGGTCTTTAAGAGGAGGCTCGACGTTTACCTGGCTGGGGTCATTTGAGCCAAGTTCTCTCCTGCCCAGGGCAGGGGGTCAGACTAGAAGATCTACAAAGCCCCTTGCAATCGATGAATCTATGAACTTAACAGATTCTCTATGCTCTGCAAATCAGGAAAAATGGAGACCACCTCAAATGTGACTATGAGAAAACAGCAGACTAGATCCTTAGCTACTGTAAACTGATGTAGCTCTATTGATATTTTACACTTATGTACCCATGCCAAGAATAAAGAATCGCAGTTTCTTATTCTACTACATACATAGGTACTCAGTCATATTACTCTCTTCCAGTAGTGCCTAAATTTACCTCTGTCTATCCCTACAGAAGACAATAAGTTTGCACAGGAGTAACCAAAAACCTTCCTGTAACAGACCCTGAAACAATCCAGCTGTATGTACAATTTTCTATATTCACAGCTGCACTGAGCCATGAATATCCCAAGATATTTAGGAAAAACCAATAACAAATACCCAAGCCTATGTCATAAGTTTACATAGGATTATGTTGTCAAACTCTTTGCCCCAAATTTAAAGGAGAGAAACTGATTTTGTAAACAAGAGTTGAGCAGACCTGCTCAGTTTTCCATTCTGACTAAAGGGCATTAAGGGACAGATCAAAGCTTGAACTGTGATTTGTTGCATTTACAGTTCCTGCTCCTTCTTGCTCTGTGAGGAGTAAAAGTTACTTTGGCCCTTTTTGTACAGCAATTGACATCCTGAACCAGGCCATAACCATCTCTTCTTGCTAGTGAGCGTATATGTTTGTGTGGGCTGCTCCTACTCTCCACTCCTTCTGTACCCAATTGCTTGCAGCAGGAAGTTGTGTGTGAATAATCCCTTCCCTCCTCTCTGAAGCTTGTTACAATCTGAGAAAGGGTGAGAAAAGAAGTAAGAGGGGTTTTGCTTCCCTCTATTCCCAAGTACAGCTGCATAAGGGCCGTGACAAGTTAGCCCGTAATGATTCTGGCAGGAGGAGAAGCTATTAGAAAGCTTCAAATTTAGTCACAAACCTTGTTAATTTACAACTCTGTGAAAGGAAATACAGAAATAAAAGTTGCCAAAGTATGGCATGGTTCTTAAAGCTGTTCATCTTCCCATAGATTTCAGGTTTCAGCTGTAACTTTTAGATTCAACAGTATTAATGAAAGCACACTTAAGGCATCAGGTAGAGGCCTAATAAACTTTTCATAGTTCAACACAAAAGTATTACTCTTACCAATTCATTTTGGTCAACACACTGAGAAAAAAAACAAAAGGGGCTTAATCTGATTTACAGAATGAAAAACAACATTGAATGCACTTTTTTCAGTAGAGGGAAAAGGTTCCCAGCTGGTTCTCATCTATATACCATGACTCTTCATTTAGTTTACACTATTAAACTAAAAAAACTCTGCTTTAATCTTAACTGTTGCAGTATGACTTAGAGTAGATTATATCTTGTAGCATCCTTGATAGGGTTTCAGATTCTGGCAAAACATCATCCCTCAAAACTGGTCATGGCCATATGGGTAGTAAATGTATCCAACATTTTTTCATTGGCGCCTACATCATTATGTCTTGTCACCAATGGTTTCTCGGGTTTTCAAGTAAATTGTTGCATATACTGTGGTTTGGAGCTGCTGAGATGAAGCCCTATGTTTATCTGTATACAGCCAAATCCTTTTTTGGAACTTTTCCCCACTAATGAACTAACATCTGTTTGGGGGGCGGGGGGGATATCTATGTTTCCATAAAGCAGTAGAAAAATAAAAGAAAACAAAATAAAAGAATCCTACCAGAAGGTAAAGACTTGCTTTTTTTTTTTTTTTTTTTTATATATAAAAGGGAAGCAGGAAGAGGATGGGTGAACAAAAATGGGCAGCATACCTGGTTTGTCTTCATTTTGGGGATCACACCTTCTACATAATTCTGGGATGGTCTTGAGAGATGTTATAGAGTACTGAAAGAGTGAAGGAGACAATACATACAAAGTACACATTTTTCCATTAAAATGATATATCAGAAAAGTACTTCAATAGCAGGGATTCTCATTTTAAATATTCAGATGTTCAAAATTTGACAAACTGTAACCTGAAGGCTGTCCCTAATCAGCCTAAAATGAATCCAGTGGCAGCTATATGTGGAACCCCACCCCCCAAAAAAACCCTTTTCCCAGATTCCAAAATACATTTGCTATCAAACAAAAGCATTTTCTTCCTGGAATTTATCACTGATATGGGCTGTGACTGCTTGCATCATGATGGCTTCTCATATATTCATAGTTTCTATCAGCTCCATTACTATATTAAAATGGAGGATGTATATGGGCTATATTGTAAAAACCAAAGCCTTACTTTGGTCACTATTTTGTACAGCAGTAACATTGTGAGGGGTGGGTAAACAGGGTACTAGCCTCTAGACCTGACTTTGAGGGGGATGCATGATTGGCAGTCCACTGCCAGGGATGCCCAGGCCGCAAAAAAACCCTACTTATTATGCCTCTTGCATGATCTGATCTTGCAAGCCTGCCTGTTTTAAACAAGACTCATTTTAAAGATAATGAAATGTAACTTTATGACAATCTATATGTATGCTCTCCTATACTAGCATTTTAAAGATTTCATTTCAGATGCACACATAAGATCCTTTCCTCCAAAACAGGGTTTTATTAAATGCCCCCCACCAAAAAAAACACAACCCCCCCAAACCCTCCCCATGTATTAATACTTTGAAGTCAGAGGATACACCTGATGTTGATCAGCAAGTTATTTTCTGTATTCAACTTGAAAACAGAAAAAAATAAAGATGACATATGTATCTGACTAAGCTGGAATCATTTCCTTATAATCTTATGGAATGCCTTCAATCAGACATGATCCAACATTATAAAAGGACAATTTCCCACAAACAGAAATCTGGTTACTCAGTATAAAACCATTCTTAATCTAATGCTAGAGTGTTAAAAGAATTTATGTTCAAACCAATGAATATCTACAAACCATTATGCTTTTGAAAAAAATCAATTGCTTTTACACATTTAAAACAACTATTAAAAAAAAGGAGTAAACTTGAAAATAATAGGATTAATATAACCTCAAATGTTCATGAATGTATAAATACCACATGTTCTTAAAGGAAGGGATATTTTTACCTAGTGTGCTACTGACAGATGAAGCAGAACACTACATATAAAACCACAGCAGCTTTCCCCACAAAAGAAAGTAGTTTATTGTAGCAGGTTTGCTGTCTTGTTGATGGTTTGTTAATTGTGGGTACATCTACATATGCTATTAAGGAAATATGATAAACTCGAGTGCAGTTTACGTCAGAGTCAGCTTCTCCTGGGCACAGCATCTGCACATGCGCCCAGGGTGGCAGAAATTTGAACTGGGGTGGAGCAGCCTCAGGCTCCAGAGGAGCTGGCTGAGGCACAAGGGTGCTAAAATGTAGGGCTACGTGACAGGCAGCCCCCACAATTTAGCACCCTCATGCGCCAGCCATCCCATCACCATCTACATGTGCATTTAGGAGGAATTAAAGTATTGTGATGTAAGATAATACTGTCCTTGACAGTACTATCTTATGGTGGAGTTAGCGAATTTACTGGGCCCTACTACCAGCACACATGTGGATGGTGATGCTTTACTGTGGAGCTAATTAGTCAAACGAAACATATGATGGATGAAGAGAGAAAGATATTACTAAATCTACCAGTAAGTTATACACAAAAACACACTCAAGCCCTAAATGCTCTAGACCCTCATACCTAAGGGACTGTCTTCTCCCTTATGCTTCATCATGGTCCTTAATGTCAGCCAAGAACAACCTCCTGCAAGTACCATCTGTGCACCCAATTTAGTTGGCCAAAATATGCGGGAGGTCATTTTTGGGAGTCGCTCTTCTTTATGCCCACCAGAGCCCAAGCCTGACTATCTTTCAGAAGCAGTGTAAGACCTTTTAGCAGGCTTTCAGCAGGCGAGGTTAACCTTTTGATATTCTTTGAGGACCTGTTCTATTATTATCATTTTATCTGCCTAGTTTTTATGACTTCATATTGTAAGTCACCCTGAGCTCTTGGGGTAGAACAGCATAGACATCAATGAAATAAAAAATAAATAAATTACAGGAGTAGCATATAATTTTTTGTTATTTTTAGTACAAATTAAACTGTTAACCTATACATTTTGCTATTTCAGTATACAAATTAGAAGGTAATGATGAACTGGTATAATAAAATTCTTGAGAAGCAGTTCATGTCCAAGGAGTATGATAGCTTTACAAAACCAGCTGGTAGAGGTTAAGCTATTACAAAGTCTATAATTCAATTAGAATTAGGTCCTTCGTAGTCTACTGCTATGTGTTTTGTTAAGCAGGGTGCAAAAAAAATGTTCTCTTTTTTTTCTACTCTTTCTTGAAAGGACAACATTTTCTTTCTGGTTGGTTCTACACTGCATCAAAGTGTATTCAGTTACCAACAAGAAAATCTATTACATGCATTATAAATTTGATTGTCGTTGATAATATATATTTGATTTCATTAGCAGATTTCCGCCAACTCACCTCCATCCTCAAAAAGACTTCTGCAAACATAGGTGACTGGTAGGGGGTGCACATGCCCCCCCGTCGGGGCTGGTGCCCCCCCCGACGGCCAACACTGATGCTGTCAGTGGGGCCAGTGCCCCTCCGGCAGGGCCACCACTGTCAGCAGCTTCTGCAGGTGCCCCCCCAGATTCAGGAGGCACCAGTCACTCGTCTGCAAATATACATTTCTACCATCTGCCTTTTGTGGTTGATACACAACTGAATTTTAACTGAGAAACTACAGAGCTGCCAGGAGGTAACAAATTATCCTGCATAGTGAACTTTTCCTAGCTGCTAAAACACAAGCTATTGTCACATCTTCCCACTACAACTATTTTCTCTCATTCTCTAGTTTCAGTTCTGATCCACCAACTCTGGTTATTAAGCTTTCCTCCAGGCAGAATTTCAGTGTTATTCAGTGGGCCCAACTGTTATGCTGACAAGGGTGGAGCCCCCATTCATTAACCAGCCTGCCATTTTGGACCTACATAATATTTTAATGACATTATTTTCCACTTTTCATGATTTTATAATGCACTGATTAAGCATCACTATTCCTATCTTTTAAATATATAGTATTAATCCCTATAAAACTGAGCCAATAAGCACTTACGTGAAATGTCAAAGGGCACACACATGAACAGTTATCATAATAGATTTGTTTTTGGCAGAGATAAGAACCAAGGATTATTTTTTCTTTATCTAATAGATGCACTGTACTCTGGCCTTTACTAATCCAGAAAATGAACTATTGTAAGTTTGACCCAAACCAAGTTGTCAAACAGAAGCATGTTACTGAACTGGCTTGCTTGGCAACAGTGTATTTTTTTCTTCTCAAACATGTAGACACAAGATGCTGAGAAGTGCTGAGTGTCCTCAACTGTCCCTAAAATAGAGGGCATTCAGCACATTACCTGATCAGCAGAGATCCAGGTTTTCTGCTTCCCCACTGAAAAACAGAGTAAACTGCAGATTTTACCTTTTACTGGAGGCAAACGTGGATTTCTCATTTTACTGGACAAACCTGTGGATTTTGCAGTTTTGCAGCCAGCCATCTGCAAGCAGGCAGAGTTCCAGCCTGCAAGGGGCTGGGGGGTGTGGGGAGCAGGAAGAACGCAGTCAGGCAGGGGGTTCTATGTGCATATATCTGCACATGGCCCCAGGCAGCCTAGAGAGCAGCTCCTGCATGTAAACTGGTGTGGATTGATGTCCCCATAGGGAGGGAGGGAAGCAGGCAGTTGAGCAGAGCTGGGCTGGGGCTCCTGCCCAGCCAGGCACTTCCTGGGGCTTAGGGCCCAGGGCTGCAATGCATGCCAGCAGGGAGTGGGATGGGGCTGTGGATGGCTTGTTTGGGGAGTGGGGGGGATGGGGCCGGCCCCCCCCCACTGTGTGCACTCCCAGAGGGGCAGGTGGACCTGCGTCTCCCACATCTGTGCATGAGGTGGGGGTGGGGCAGGCTGTGCACTGTGGGCTTGGGGGGCTGCTTCCCACAGCAGTGTACACTCCTGGGGGGCAAGAGGGGACCTGTGCCCCCCACATCCCGTGTGCAGGGTAGGGGGTGTGCACTACCTGCTTCAGGATCATGCTCCCTGCCCTGCTGCCCTCCCTTGGGGCCTCTACAGCCCAGCATGTGTGACCCAGAGCTGCAGGGAACACCAGAGCCACACAGGAAGCTGCCTGCTGCAGAGAGCTCTGCGCTGCCCCCATCCCATGCGCAACCCTGCACTGCCACCCCCATTGCAGGCACGCAGGCAGGGGCCATCTCACTAGAGCAGTGTGGAGCTCACAGTGGCAGGCAGCCACAGTGGCAGACAGCCACGTTCCTGCGTGACTCTCCTGTTCCCTGCAGGGCTGGGTCACAGAAGCCAGGCTCTGGAGGCACCAGGGGAGTGCAGCAGGGCTGGAGCCCACAGTGGGCAGTGTGCAGCCCCCCCACCTCACACACAGATCTGGGGGGCACTGTTCTCCCCCTACCTCTCGGGAGTGCATGCCAGAGCAAGGAGCAGCTCCCCTCAGCCCGCAGCAGGCAGGGAGCCGGGCTTCATTCTGCTGCAGCAGCCACTGCCTCCTGCCTGGGGCCGAGGGCTGTGGACCTGGGTCCCTGGCCCCATAGCCCTGGGAACTGGGACTCCCCTCCAGCAGGGCTGGGGGAGCAGAAGCTGTGGGTGGGGGGCAAGGGGTACCAGCAAGACCAGGGGACAGTGAGAAGGGAGTGAGAGGCACCAGCAAGGCTGGGGAAGTTATGGGGGGGCATTCATTTAAAAATCAAGGCTTTTGGGGTTATCAGAGAATTGTCCATTTTTTATCAGAGAAAACAAGGATCCCTGCTGACCAGGTCTTAATATAAAATCTTTGCATGTCTGAGGTGGAAAAAGAATA